TAAAGAAACTCAAATTATTAAAATAGCATACCAAAACATGAACTAAAAAATTAATAAATAAAACAACAATATGGAAACTAAAGCAAAACCCAAATTATTAAAATATTATACTAGAACATGAACCAAAAAAAAAAATGTAAATATGAGAAAAAAATAAACTTAGAAGAAATTATATGATTCAATTAAACTACCAAAAATTATTTTTGAATGAAACACAGTATTATAGGAAGTAGAACTTTCGTGGGAGGGGCCACAACACTCGTAAAGATTTAAAAAAACACACCTGTATCTTCCTGTGGAAAAGCATCATCTATGCACGGCGCCGCATTTAAGTCCAGTGAAAAATAATTTGATGAAGAGCCATTCAAGTTTACATTTGTTTCAAACTCAGTTATGGGAGAATCTTGATGGAAATTGATGTCAATGTTCAAAGATAACAACTAAAATTAATAAAAGAACAAGAAAAAAAATGGTAGCAACAACTCAAAACAAGAGTTTAGTGCTAGAATATAAAGGAAACGTACCTACAATAATGTTTGCTTCTTGTTGCATATGTGAACCATCATCATTTACACATGGCTCCTTGTATATGTCCAGTGGAAATTGATTTGACGAAGAGCTATTTGAGTTTACATTTATCTCAAGCTCAATTACAGCAAAATCTTCATTAACAATATTCAAATCGGGAAGAACCACCCTTGCTTCCTTTTTCTGTGTATATTCCCCAATAATAGGAACAATATTGAGATCTAATTCACATAAAGGTATTCGTTGCTTTGCCATAGCAGCAATTATCCCTATTGAGATGAGCATCAACTTGGAGATAAACAGAATTTTATAGGCAATTTTTCTAGCGGGAAACAAAATTGAGGAATCAAAATTAGAATATATTTTGGGCGGTATTAGAATGAAAAATAAGTGAAATTGAATTGAATGAAGGTGTTGGAAACTTGGAATCGCAGCTAAGTTTTTCGGTGATCGAAACGACAGATAGAAGAGAAGATCAGAGGGAAGGGGAATCGGCTGGTAGATGGAACTCCTTGAAGAAAAGGGTAAAATGGTCTTTGTATTTTATTTACCACTAAAATTAAAAATAATTAATCATTGTCTTAATTCTTGTGCAAAAGGCTAAAACGACTAATATTGTGGAACAGAGGGAGTAATGAATTTGACAAGTCTTGTTATTGTACGTAAAAATTTTATTTTACAATTTAAATTATATTAAATTGAATTATAAAATATAATCATTTGAATAGAAAGAAAACCTAACTTTCATTCAATGATTAATGTTGTATATTTTAATATAGTTTAAAAACTATGCAACACTTTTTTCTTATTTGATTATATTTTTTTTCATAGTATTAAGGTTTCATTTGGAATTACTTTGGAATTATCATGAAATGCTGTGACTATAGCTTTTTAAGTATTCTACTATCATGAAAATTATATTATTGTTTGATAATTACTTTGAAAAAAAATGTAATACATCAATACAATTATTTATTATACAAAATGTCAATTAAAATTAATTTAA